TATTCTTATAAAAATGTTTTCTATTGCATTCTGTAAATGGAACGGCAGACGATTTTTATTAATTGACCTTTGGACAACGAAGGCGCTTTCTACGAGACTGCTTTTTTGGACTTTTCGTTGTCTACTTTTGGTTGGTTGTAGTTTTACAAACTCATGTGACGCTTGTTCAAAGGTAAAAAGAGATTATTGTTTTTTGTGAAACTTTAGTTAATGGTTCATTTTTGGCATGTTGTACTGAATGAGTAATACCTGTTGTCAAACAACATTCATTGCCTCCCAGAGTGGAATGGCTCTCTCAAAACGCCCTGTTGATGGTGGTGTAGATGAAGGTGTGATTTTCTCACTTGCCGTTGGGATAACAAAGAGACTTCTATTGTGGAGTAACTAGCATTACTTTTGATCGAGAAACTGGGTCCTGCAGAAGTTCCACCTAATGAGCCCCACTATGCTCTGATCTTTCCATCGTTGGCAGAGGAGAAATATTGGTGGAGAAAGTACAAATTTAAATTTCAGAATATGCGAGTGCCAATGTGTGTTGCCTCAACAAACATAATGAAGGGGAAGACGTAGTGACTGTTTCGGCTTCCTATAAGACTGTCGAAAATACAGTGGAATTGCAGGAATCTGTTGGGTGGAGATTGTTCATATAATGCAACAATTGGCAGGCACGAGGAGGTCGGAAGAATGATTGTTTACAGTGTGTGGTCTTTGGATGCTTAGTGGGCTTGCCGTGTTGATGCTCTGAGTGATGGCCGCAGCAGAATAGCTATCATCAAGAAGTGAGATGATTGTGCCCAAATGGTTGCTTTATTCTGAATTGTATGTTTGGAACTTCATGGAACATGCATTGAAGGGCTCTACTTGGTTTGCTGAATACCTTCGCATTGTTGACCTTTCTCCTTAAATCAGACGGCGAGATATGTTTTCAGTAGTAGTAGCGGTAGTAGTAGTAGTAGTAGTAGTAGTAGTAGTAATGAGTGCTGAAGAATAGTGCCTATAAATGTCACGTTGAGTTCGTTGTGCTGATCAATTTCGGTAGTTGGGGATTTGAACAAATTGAATTTTGCGAGTCAGGCAAGAGGCCTCACAACTCTTCATCGTGGAAAGAGTCCAAATACATAGGAGTGGGGTTGATAGGGAGGCAGGGAGGGAGGGANTTACTTCATTGGATGTCATAGTTTATCTGCGCTTTACAAAGTGGCATTAAGAGAACAGCGTTATGAATCTAAAATGCGTGAATAATAGTTGATAAAATGGTCATTCCCGTGGTTTGACAATTGGCACATAGTCAATATTCACCGTAATTGCTATTCTCCAGTCATTCTCGTCAGATTGATGTGCCAAGCAGTTGCATAGGTTCCACCTTTGAATTCGTAGTGGCGCAGATGATGGCAAGTCAGCACATTTTGCTTAATTGTGCATTGTTTTACATTGTAATGTTTTGCCATGCTTTGTGTTAAGCTCTGTGCAATATCGTATCCAACAGGCAGCTTGCATAGGAGCATATAAAGAGGCTAAATGCATTCTTATTAGTCCCTCAAATGCCTCCGAGTTCGAGAACTCAATGGCGACTCAGAATGAGCTAATAGTAGGCCTTATTTCGCGGTGCCTCTAGGCAACATCTCATCCTACTTTAGTGCATTTGGCAAAAAATGTAAAGCGGAGTTGTTGCAATGTAATGGTGAATTGAATCTCTCTTGGATAAAAAGTCTTCATTCATTGCAACAACAGCAACAGCACTACCAACAATGAACAAACAAGCACTAATATGTGAGAAGAACGCATTTTTGCTGTTTGCTCACTTTCGATGTTAAGTCTGTCTTGGTGACTTGATGCTCACAGTGATGCACAAAACACATTGCTTCCCATAAGGAATTGAGTTGAATGTGCCTACATTCAACGGTGTTATGGCGAATTTTGTGTTTGGAAGGAGATTTCCTCCGCCAGCTCAAAGGTAAAGTTAGTGGAGTTTTACCTGACTTATATTACTTAACTACGTATCCTCGACAAATCGTCAAGTGTGAATAGCTCTGATCCACCAAACACCTGAGTACTTTGCCTATTGTCATAGGTGATTAGCTAAAATGCCCACCCCGAGCTAAACTCAGCAACTTCACACTAACTACAAAGTGAATTAAGGAGCAGGAGGGAGTAGAAGAAGAAGTCGATAGATTAGGATTCGTAGTATTATTCATAAACAGTTGAAACAGGAAACATTAGAATCAGACAATTGAGATTTGTGGTTGAAGGAGGTAGAGGCAGCAGGACCAGCAGCAGCAACAACAGGAGTTGGGGCACCAGTGGTTGGTGCATCGACAGAGCGGCGTCACTCGTAAGCAGTTTTGAGCACCTCATCATGTAGTTTCCTCCCTCTTAATTGCTCGGTGCATGGCTTCAATGCCCTGGTACGAGGTTAAGGATTCTGGTGGCCAATTGGATGGTGGAGGGTGGATGGAGAGGCAAGAGAAGAGTGAGTGTCACTTGATATTAGAGCGGTTGACAGGGAATTGAAGAGCTCACTCACTTGTCCATTTTCAACAGTACTGAAGCACTTGCAGTCCGGGGATCTGCCCTTCGCGTTTCTGCACTCATGGTAGAGGGCACGGACAAAGAGGAGTGCCTACTATTGACTTGTTGGGAGTGGCTTCTGTGGCTTCGTATTTGCAGATCGTGGTGTTATGCATCGGCTGCTGACATTGACTAATTTCAGCCTGAACTCCTGCTCTTCCGTAATGTCTGCCTGCGCAAGCTGCTGGATTTAGTTCAGTGCCAATGAAGAAGAAGAGGAGGAAGAAGAAGAAGAAGTAGTAGTAGCAGTAGAAGTAGTAGTAGTCGAATCAATTGGGGTATTGAGAATCAGGTTTATGTGCAGTTTATCTTCAGGAGTTGAGAGCACGTTGTGAGCACACTCTCAAGCACTCGGGAAGAAGATGTCAGGAAACCTGTCGCGTATTAGGTTCTTGAACCTCCGCACGTCTGAGTCCCGCCTGCCTTCCACAGTGACCACAAAGCACAGGTCACCATGCTTGTTTCGTCTTGCGATGGAGGTGTTAAGACGTGCTGTGCAGCCGGTGAGGCGAGCAGCTCGACAGATGCGTCTGTCGTCGACGTCTCCGATCATATCAGCGTATTTGGCCTGGATCAACATCAAACACTGGGGAGTGGGGGACTTCTCGAAGTGGAATACTTCCACCACGTCGTTGAAGCGTACCACTTTCTTTGCTGCTTTTACATCTCCCCTTCCACCAGTGGTGGCAGAATCACCTTGAGCAGCAAACGCACCAGCAGCTCTGGTGTTGGTGGCAGTAGTCTTAGAAGCAGAAGTAGCAATATTCGAAGGTTCTCGTGCATACATTTCGCGCTATTCGGTCACAAATTTCGTAAAGGAAACTTCAGCCAAATGACTTCAGTTGTTTAAAAATCGATAATTTTTTCATATGCGAACACGTGATCCAAATTCAACAAAATTTGAATGCCACATAATGGCGCATCTTTTAACTCGTACTTGCATCCAAAATAGGGGAATATAAAAGTGGAGTTTGTAAGAAGTCATCGGAAATCTTCATTTTCACTACTGCCATCCATTAGTAGCACCACTTGACGTGAGTTATTGCTCCATCTAATGTACCAGTAACAGAGCAAATATTGCAATTTTATGAGTAGGAAATGAGATGTTGCTGTGGCCCCACTCCGTGAAGATTTCTACTTATGAAGTACTTGGAGTACTTAATGGAAATCTCAGAAGGCTGTGTCAAATCTGGATTATTGAAGCAAGTACGCCTGACCACATCCAGTGGCTAATGAGACACAACTGGTTTTATAGGTTCTTACAGTGGGATTAGAAATATTTCCTACTTAATGCTGAAATCGATTGTGCAAATAGCAATGTGGTTCCCTAGTACTTTTCCACACTCCCTATTTGCCAATAATAATATAGTAAAAATATAAATGAGTGTTGTCATTCGCGAAATATATATGACCAAAGAACATCCAGTTTGCTGGAATAAATCAGTGATTTTATTTTATTTTTTATTTGCGTTTTTAAGAAATAGTAGTTGATTGAGATTTGTTTACACCTTTTAAAGTGATTTACATAGCGCACGGCACTACTTTGAATATGTAGTGGATTGGTAGCATTTTGGCACGAACTTATCAAGATATCATCGACGAAATAAATTCTCCTTGCTTTATGCACTTCTGAGCAACTTCAAAATCGTCTGTTTCAATGTTGCATAGTATTTGAAATTGTGGAAAAGTAAAATGAATATTTTTTATAGATAAAGTGCTATTTTATGTATTTATATAATATGTAAATAAATAAATATAAAAATATATTTATTATATCAAGTAAGGCGTTTGTTGTTTGATATTTTGAGCAGGTGATCAATCCCTATCATGTCAAAAATGCTATTGCCTTTAATGTCTTTCGGGTTGTTCCTCGTGTTCAGTTAACGATCGGTTTCATTTTGCAGTCATTACATAGTCTCAATTCGATGACTTGCATAGCATGTGAAGTTACGTCAGGTCACATTGACTCTGGAATTCTATCTAGCCTGGCAAGTAATTTGATATCTAATGAGAGTCACCTCCCCTTTGACGTTGACTTCACCTTAACGATAACACAACACTTTAGGATGCAGTATCGAAGTTGTATGTCAGATGGAGTTTCTGTGGAAATGAGTATGGCGTCGATGATCACGTTGTGGAAAGTCGATAAAACTGTGCATGTGCCAATTATTAGCCATTTCTGAGATATCAAGTGATGAGTGGAACTGAAGAACATTATATATATATATATATATATATATATATATATATTTCCCCCTGACCGCAATCACCTTACGAATTTTGATAACATTTATTATTATTTTATTACTTGTGGTCGCAATTATAGAATTTAATTAAGTGAGCCATATAATTCCCATTCATCTCGCCAACATTTTACTTACTACTAACCTCAAGCGCGATTCGTTCAAGTATTTGCAATGGTTGTCATCCCCTCATTGCCATGGCACACAGTCAATTCTAATCATCCTTCCCACACACCAACTCACTTCATTCACCTCTTTCAGACCCATTAAGTGCACTCTTTAAAGCCTTTCTGTCCCTCCATCCAACTACCTATTGAAGATTTTTCATTATCAATGGCGCAGCAGTTCCACAGTCTTGGGCATTTGCAAGAATTTCATTTGAGAAATGATTATGTAATATTATTATAATTCTTGGTAATTTTCTTTTCATTTGTCCATGATGGCCTGCACATGTTATTCCTTGATATTTTGAATATTTATTTTTTATTTTAAATGACAGTCGTTTCGATTGTTATCATTAACCCTTTAGATGACTTCGGACTTCACAGTAGGGAGAAACATCAGATTGAGAAAAATTAAAGAGTAATTTGCTTAACTAAGTGCCACATGTGTTTAGTGAGATTTCTAAGGTACGTACAAATTTAACGTACTTTTTATATATAATTGCTGGCTTCATAATAGTAATCATTTGCCCTTTAGCTGACTACTGGCTTCACAGAGGGGAGCAATAACAAAGCCACGTAAAGTTGAGAGGGGTAAAAGGAGAGTGATTCACAGATGTAAATGAGCCACAAACAAAGCGGGTAGATATGGTAAAGTGGGTACTGCGTAAGTGATGCAATATTGCATATACTTGGGTCATGGTAGATCAAGGTCAGAAGTCAACTGCCTGCATTTAGACGATTTGCTGTATGAGTGTTTCTTTTCCGGGTAGTCCCACGTGGAGGTTAATCCATCGCGAACCCCTTGGGGTACTTATAGTGCTGAACATATTGGCCAAGTCTCTCAATGGATTTGTTTTTACAAAGGGTTTTTAAAAAGAAAATTAGATAACCCTCAATGAAATCAAATTTATTAAAGGCAATGCATCTATTGACATCTTCTAACTAGGATGAAATATTGAAATCTATATATTACAACAATTATTCAGAATTTTGATTATTAATTGTGGTACCCATTTAAAGTACTATATAATTTGTAAAACTAATATGCTAAAATGCCAATACATATTTTTATCCATAAAATAAATTTTGTAGTAAAAATCGGCTTTTCTACATATAGACCGAATATTTGATTTTTAGTATATATAAAATTTAAATCTCTTTTGAAACCAATAAATAGTTTTCCTCCATAAAGACAATTAATTTTAAGAGAAATTTTGAATATTTTTTTTTTTACTTAGATGTTGATGAAATAATGGCAAACTAAGATTTGTTTACACCTATTAAAGTGATTTACATAGCTCGTGGCACTAATTTAAATATAATTTGGTATCTTCTTGGTTTAAACTTATCAAGATATTATTGACCAAATTAAAGTGGCACTGTTGTATAAACTTATGAACAGAGGCAAAAATTTTTTTTTTAAATTTTCTTTATGCTTGATATTTTGGATAAGCAAATTGAATGTTTTTACAGATAAAATGTTCAATTTTATTTAGCCTTTAAAATTTATGCTAAGCGTTTGTTGTTGTTTTGTTTGAATAATTAATAAATCGTTTAAATTTCAAGTGTTTTATTAATACATTTTTCTCGTTTCCCGTTTTTTTAAGGATCTGTTTAATTTCGCTTTCATCTCAGAACCATCATTCGATGTATTGCGAAGCATGTGGAGATGCGTCAGGCCACAGTGACTCTGGAATTCTGTCTAATCTGGTTTCTTGTAAATGTAAATGTGCACTACAATTTCTCACCTCGACAGCTTGTCATCAACTTCATTCCCGTTCTTTCGTACCCAAGGTATTTTGAAGATAAATGTCAACTTAATAAATGTAAATTTAGGATACAGTTTCGCAAGTGACTGATAGTTTAAAATGCAATGGAAATGAACATTGCGTCGATGATCGCGTTATAGTAGGTAGAGAACGATCGATTAGGAACCTAAGCAGCGATCCCAGGCGGAATATGTCCAAAATACCGCGACCTTTTGGTAAGATGCTATTTTGTTATTAGTGCACTTGTTTGCTCGAACCTTTACATCTCAATATTACTTGTGCTTTTTAACTAATTCCTCTAAGTCCTCAAAATAAGTTCACCTCTAAATGATTGGTAATTATTTATTGCTCTACGAAGACCAGTATTCTATTCATTGCAAATTGCTTGTCTGCTTCAGTACACTGATATGAATTCTGACCAACGTGGTTCGTTTCCCCGTCTGGATTATTTTTTTGCAGAATGTATTCTGCACGACTTCTTTCTCGCATCTTAGCCCTTAGTCTCTACTAGCTTTAAAAAATAGTAATTAAATCTTATGCCTGTGTCGCGTTAAATTGCCCTTAATCCCATTGTAACAAATTTTTTGGCTGTATATCATTTCCGAATTTTCGCAGCCACCTTGTTTGAGCTAGTCATTTTGCAACATTCAAATTTTTCAATCATTAATATTATATCTATTTCTACTTTAATCCAGCATCCTCGTCGGTTAATTCAAAGAGAGCACAGTTAAGTCATCCTCACCAAATCAACACAAACGCAATATTCAACAGAATGAGTCGTTCACATAGTCCTCTTGCTGCCGAAAATTCCCCAAATAACTTGTAAGTGTGGATTAAATGTGCTCCCTCAATTTTGTTCTCCCTTACAGAGCAGAACTGCAAGAAATACGTGATGAAATCGTCTCATTGCGCCAAAAGTTTGACAAGGATTTCAAAGTACTTCATACCTTTTTAATTCGTCATTTTCAGGTTATGCGCAACGCTGTTACTGGTGATAAAAGCGAAATCGCGCAAGTACTTAATAAGCCAGTATCCGAAGGCAAGGTAAATTCTCATTCAACGTTTCATCCACTTGGATTATTTATTCAGTTTCCAACTCATCGGATTGATCATGGAGAGGCTGCTCTTCCGGAAAGCAGCATTTTGAGTTCAGCTCATCGAGCTTTCCTGGATGCAGTGAGACATCGTCGAGCATTTGAGATCAATGTTGCAAATTGTGAGAGGTCACAAGCTCAAAAAGACGTTTTTCATATTCTCGGACATCTCCATGAGTAAGCATGTAACATTTCCCTTCTTGCTTTCACTTATCGCCTAGGACTAGTAACTGTTGAGCACGAAAGTATTTTGATGGACTTGTTTTCCTCATTTTCTCCATTTTGTCATCATAGTTAATCAGCGTATGAGCATTTGGTATTGTGGTCACGAATTCGCTAGCTATTTCCAATGACGAATCATAAAATCCGAATTTTGTGAGCATTTTATTCATAAAATTGTAGCGGATTCAGTCGATTATCCAAATTCACTTTCAAACAACTTTTATTTGGTTTGCCGCTGTGAAAATTTGTGCCTATCTCTTTGGCATTGACTATATTAATGTTCTTATTATGAGTGCTCAGTTTGTTGGCTGAAAATAGCTTAAAAATTGTATCACATATGCCACATTTTGAAACCCCTACGCCCCCGGGGAGTTTAGTTCATAGGGGTCAAAATATTCCACACAATGTTAATAGTAGTATCATTAATAGCAATAAAATGTATTTACTATGCAATATTTGTCCTTTAGAGATAATGCTGATGCTATTCGCATGAGGGCACTTCTAGACGATGCTGTGCACAATATGAACTCCATTCAAAGTACTGTGAGTTACGTATAGGCTTCATTTAATCCCATTTTTACAAATATCCGTGTTTTTTTTTGTTGTTTAATATTCGCGCTTTTCTTTAGTTACTGTGCTATAGAATTACCAATGATTCCTTGTCTGAATGCAATTTGAACCTCATCTTCAGGGAAAAGAGCTTATTTCGAACTTTCTCCAGCTTTATGGCAATTACTTCGACATTTTCAGAAAGAAATTTTACATTCTCTGAATAGTATTATAGTTAAAAAGTCCTTCAATTAAAAGTAGTATATTTGTAATGAATGCGTATATTATCATGATTTATAATTTCCATCAATATATATAAAGGCATTAATGCTATACCTACTGTTGAATACTGTTCCCTTTCATTTGGTCTTTGTCTTGCTTCCTGACACCTTGACCTTCTGTTCCACCTGTGACTCGTTCTTTCTCGCTCAGCACACTATCATACGAATGCACCTTCAATTTCAATCCTTTTTTTCAATGAATATGTCAATAATTCGAAAGAAGGTTGGACTCCATTCTCCTATACTCCATTAGTGTTCAATCAACCTAAATTTAGCATTGTATCTTGTCGGTATGACGGTTGATTTATTTCTGACTAACGCTTACTTAGGAATCTTCTTGTAGTCTATATAATCAATCTCCCGCCCCACCCCCTCCCCAATAATCAGAGAACCAGGAACTGAGTTCGACTACCGATGTACTTGACGCCATCAAGTAACAGTTGAAAAGAGTTTAAATTAGGAAAATAAGTGTTGATATAGTGTGTGTGGTAAGCAGGATTTTACCAAATCACGATACGCTGAGTTGTGCTGCCTGTTGGACATCATTGGGTAGTCTGATGAATGACCAATAATAATGTAAAAAATATTCAATTTCTGCCACATGGGTCCAGAAGAACACTAAGAGCTGAGTAATAACCACGATTGGTTATAAGAGAGATTAGGACAGAGACATAAACATCTGCTTGTGGAAACACAAAGACGCTAACTTGAGTGATATTTAAAACCCCATCTTCAGTTTTCTATTGCCTTTGAAAGAAATGAAAGATTGTCTGAGGTTTGCATAAAATTATTTAATACTAGTACTCTACTCATAGGACTCAGTAGCACTAAGCAACTTGTTTTAATCTGTTGAAGCCCATTGCATCGAAAGCGACCTCTTCCCGTCTGGATCGTTTAAGCGCTCCAAAGAAACAGCTCAAATTAGCCCCACCCAAACGACGAACGAAACTCACTACCAATCAGCGCCCAAACTCGTCTCCGCCTAAAAGAGTTTCAAGCACAGTAACCCCCAGATCAACTGGTCTGGCAGACCTTGTCTACTTTTCCGATGAAGAATCCACAACTGCTCCACCTTTAATGAGACGTCCTAAAGTTGTTCTCAAAACTCCTCCATCTCTTAGTGGTTTGCTCATTTTCAGACACCATTATAATCCCTTACTTCCAGCTAGGGAAAAGGCTGTGCGATTCGATAAAACCCATTCAAAATCGACTGCTCCTATGAAACCGAATGAACGCAAGTCTAAACCACTGACACCGTTTGTACCTTTGGGAATGCGCCAATATACAATGTGGCCAACGGAAAAATCTCAAGTCATTTTTTGCTCATTTTCATTAATTAAATCATTTTTATATGTAAGAAGTACTATGTCTTTTTTCTTCTTGAAGTCACTCGTGACGACTTCAATGGAAAATGGTCTCGGAGGGGAGGGTAAGTATATGGATATATCTTGCCAGCTGCTTACGAATTCCCAACCCACTTAAATTTTGTGAATGAAGGGAAAATCTAAATTCGTAATAAATCATGAAACCTGGAAATGAGATCAAGTGTTTCCATCTATTTGTATTTTAGAGACCTCAAATTTTCATGATGGATATAGTTCTGTGAATAATGTTCTTACATCTAATTGTACTTTGACTTCAGGTTCATGGATATGCTTGTTGATCGATTGGTTAATTTCCCTGATTGGTCATACTGTAGCGGACTGCTATACCAAATAAGCCTAGACTGTACTCAGTTATCTCTACTATCGATGAGCCTCCCACAATACCATCTTGTTTCATCAATCAAAGAGAACATTTCCCATATTTAAGTTGGGGATTTGGTGATCGCATGATATCGCAGACTTTTAATTGCTTCCTTTCTTTGTTTTAGCGAGGTGACCTTCCGTTAAGGAACTAACATGGTGGTAATTTTTAGCTTTAATATTTTCTCGGTATCATAACTTTTGAAGGTTCATTTCAAGTATTACAATTTGTCAATAGATCCACTAAATCTGTTCAAAGTCTGTGCGACTCTTTAAGTTACATTTTGGGAAATCCGAAGATCTCATATGCAAACCACAGATTTTTTATACATTAAATTGTGATTCACGCCGCTGAATGCATAAAGTGTTTCTTGCACAACATTTTAAAATATTCCCTTCAGTTATAGATCATGCATTAAGCCTTTCCGTAGGGAAGTTACATACATTGATTCCAAATAGCCGAGTTTTTTATTCCTTCTATTAAGATTAGAAGGTTTTCTGCCTTCAATCTGTAATCTTCTCTGATTTTTCGGTGAACCTAAGTTTCAAGAGCATTATCAACATATCCACCTTCCTACACCATGATGTGAGAAATATTTAGTAGAGACTTAGCTTCCATCTTCAATGTTTGCTTAAATCCTTTAATTTCGATTGAATTCAAATTTGTATTTTTCATTGTTTGTTACTTAAAAGTTAATCAATAGGGCATTTTAATAAGCTGACGTGTATGATTACAGCAGATCGTTTAACTGCGGAAGATGTAAAAACTATGCTGGAAGCCGCATTAAATCAGCACTCGGAACGCAAATCATCCCAACTTCAAGTTCAAGACCGAGATGTTGGCACTTCGTGTCAAGCTTTCACTGAAGAGAAGGCATTAAGTCCCATTCCAACTCCTAAAAAAACTACTTTGGTTGACGCCACCTCTAGTCCCTATATTCCCAAAAATAATTCCCGTGGAGAATCCGTTCACTTCATTCAAAGACGGAGGAGCTCATCTTTGCCATCAGTCTCGTCTGAATTTACACCGATTTCAGAAGAACTTAAGTCAGCACATTCCGAGTAAGAGCTGGTTTTTGTGTTTTATAATTACCACTGATAAGATTAAAAAAATAAATGCTTAAATATATTAAAATATAAGGGAAAGTGGATATTCAATATGAAATTCCAAATATTGGAGTAGTTTGTAAAATTGTAAATGGTTTTGTAGAAATAGTGAATCTCTTCAAAGTAATCTTTGCACGTTGCATGAAAGCGCATTGAAAACACCCCGTTACTTGCCGCTTATTGGTTAACTTTCTAATTTTTCCTACAATTTGACTTAATAGCATCATTATTTATTATTTTAATAAAATACTCAACAAATAGAAATAATCCCACTGTTGTAGATTGTGCAATTTCTAAGCTTTTCTTACTGCCATCTTAACCAATGATTTAGTGAAGCACAAATTGTACATGTCAAGACAAAAAATTGACTCGATTCCATTCGAAATTGTCAGGGTTGCACATCTTATAAAACTCCTTATAACTGTTGGATTTTTGAGAGACCTAATTTATTCCCGAATTCAGTGCATTATTTAGGACCAGTTCGATAACTCAAACCGAGGCCATATCAGCCAATTCCTTAATGTTCTTTAACGACAGGTCAGTTAGTTGATCATTCATTTTCTGCTATAAGTATATCCATGTATGCCCTTGGCATTTAAAATGTATTCTACAAATTGAACTTTTGAAAAGTGCTACAGGTGAAGAGAGTGGATCAGTATCAACAGCTACACTCCGGTGGGTTCTTGTTTTCCAAGAGTCTTTGTTCGTTAATTTGCTAAACTAATTTTACAAGCATCTCTTAAAAATATAGTCATTTGAGCTCGGAAGAAAGTTCCCTCTCGTTAGTTTTTCATTTCGTTGAGTTACTTGGGTTTTTTTATTCAAACGTTTTCTTATTAAGCCGCTGCTATAAACCTAGTTCAAGAAGTCAAACAGAAATCGACGTCTACGAGCCAATAATGTTTTCAAATAATTGGTTAGTGCTTTACTTATTTCTCACCCCTATTTGTAGTCAATTGATGAGCAAATGGGAGAGGCTTAGGCCTTTAACGTCCGAAATTTTTTTTTGAAAAATGCACCCAACCGCACTCACCCGTGTTATACGGCAGACTTTTGCCGGTGTGATGATTTTTGGTGGCATTTAACACTTTTCAAATGGCAATAGCGCCTTCCGTCACGAACTTATTTTAAAAGAGGACCGCGCGGTCCTAAGGTCATTAAATGGTTAAAGAGCTTATGGTATATGTTTGGTGAGAACCTATCTGCTCCAAGAGAATCAATTCAATTGTATTAATTTCAATCCTCCCCCCTCCTGCCCTTTATTCAGGAAATAAGCACACTGGATAATTTCACATTCTCTATTCTATTAGAACTACTCCGAGTTTACCCCCCCCCCC